GTGGCTTTACCCCTCGGCCCGGTCGTTGCGCCGCAGGCGGGCGGCGGCTGGGAGAGGGCTGCTTGTGCGGCCTGCGGCGGGGGCGGCGGCCTGGGGGGCGCCTGGGGCTGAGGGAGCGGCGGTGCGCGTCTTACGGGTGGGAGGACTTGCCTGTGAGGGAACGGCATTGAGTACCAGCTGAGGTGTCTCCGGCTCGCAGGAATTTCCGTAGCTCAAAGTGGGCTCGTAGGTACTGAAGTTGCAGGACTATAGCAAGCAGGCTGGTTTGGTTTTGGTTTTTTGTTTTGTTTTTTTTTTTCCACATCCACAAGTGGCAGTATTTCTTTTCGTTGGCTGCTTTGATTTGGTGTGTCCTTGTTAAAAAGACTGGCTCCATCTGTTCAGTTGTAGTTTCCTTTTGAAATACCTCTTAAGGTGTTTTGCCAAGAGAATTGCAGTTCAGTGGCATTGACAAGTGATGGAGAATTTTAGAACTGTTGGTCAACTGATGATGCATGAGTACTGGAAGATTGACTTTGTTAGCAAGTATTGGTAACTGTGCAGTATGAGTTTAGATGCTTTCACACTATCTATTTTAAACAGAAGTTTGATACTGAACTAGAACTTTGACCTTTGCAGACTGCTTTTTTATCTTCAGCAAAACTTCCCATAGCTGTAGTGGCAATAAATAGTTTACTTTGTTTAGATATTTGTCCTAATGCTTCATTTTCTTGCAGAATTTTTCTCTTCTGAGCACAGATCAGGGTAGGAATTAAGTATTTTTGTTCAGATAAGTAACTGTCTTCTTTTGTTTGTTTGTTTTGGAAACTATTTTCTGACAGCAATGAAATTTCTGTTGGTTTTTGATTTTGACCATACAATCATAGATGAAAATAGCGATACCTGGATTGTGAAATGTGCTCCTGAGAAAAAACTTCCTAACGGATTAAGAAACTCTTATCAACCAGGACATTGGACAGAGTATATGGGCAGAGTCTTTGTCTACTTGGGAGACAATGGCGTCAAAGAAGATGAGATGAAAAGAACTATGACAACAATTCCTTTCACTGCGGGAATGGTAGATCTTCTGGGTTTTATTGGCGAGAACAAAGAGTTGTTTGACTGCATAATTGCTTCAGATTCTAATACAGTATTTATTGACTGGATTTTGAAAGCTGCTGACTTCCATAATGTGTTTGATAAAGTGTTTACAAACCCTGCGGCATTCAGCAGTACTGGCTATCTTACTGTACAGAACTTCCATGCTCACCATTGTGTAAAGTGCCCCAAAAACCTTTGCAAAAGGAAAGTTTTGAAAGAATTTCTAGATAAACAGTTGGAGCGAGGAGTAAGTTACACAAAAATTGTGTATATAGGTGATGGTGGGAATGACTTATGTCCAGTAATGTTTTTGAAGAAGGATGATATTGCTATGCCCAGGCAGGGGTATACCTTGGAGAGGAAGATTTCTCAACTGGCCCAAGATCTGAGTCCTGTAGAGTGCTCTGTTCTGGTTTGGTCATCTGCTGTTGACATTATGTCTCACCTGAAACTGCTTATAAAGAAGTAATTCAAATGATAAAAGGAAACATATTTTATCTTTCTGGGAGAGAAAAACTACATCTGTTTAAAAGCACAAAATTGTAAAATTGGGCTGTTAACTGAACTTACATTTTCTAAACACAATACTGTTTATGTTCAATCTTGGCAGTAGTAGGAAGTTAAAGTGGCTTTCCAACATCAGCTGAGAAGGGGGGGGTTGCAAGACGAATTGCCATGATTCTTTGTCTTCTTCGCTCCCCCCGCCCCAGCTTTTATCACTGACATAATGGACCTTTCCATTCCATGAATTTAGGGGAAGGAGCAGAATTAGTGCATGAAAGAATGGAATTCATTACATACAGAGCATTAGGAGCCAGGAACCGTGGTTCTGGAACTGTTCATTGGCTTTTATACTTCTTTGATGAGGATAGATATTTGATTTTGTAAATTACTTGGTATGCTTGTAATCTTGTTTGATCTGAAGACACATTTATATTTTCAATATACTAAATATTTTACCAAATAAAATTACTTCTATTTAAGAGTTTGTATTATCTTGTAAAGACAATAAAAGGTATTGTCAGTAACAAAAGTAACACACCTGATTTGTGTAATGTATTCTGTGGGCATGCATGTCATCATGCACCAGTTCTTGTAAGGGCCTGGAAAGAGGGAAGACAAGTGTAGGGGTCAGCCTTTGGGTAACACCTTAATTTATTTTGTCAGTCAGACCTTCTCTTCTGGGGAGCAGTAAGAACATTGTTGCTCTGCTTTAAAAAAGTCACTCTCCCTTTCTCCTGACTACCACCCTGACAGCGTGCTGCTGCCACTCTGTGTAGAGCTAATGTTGGTTTGATCTTCCATGCTGATGGCTCTGAGTTAGGTGCTTTTTTTCTTGCTGGGTTTCTGCTGCAGTGCACAGGCCCACGGAATGGTGCATATCTATACATGCTTACACTGATACTACCTATTCACTCTCATCCATATCTATAGCATAATCCTCTGTTACAGGCTGGAAGGGAATGCCTATGTCCATTTTAACTTTTTAACATAATTGTTCTGTCTTTAAATAGTTTAAAGAATTGTTTGTGAACGTGCAGTTTTTCTCTTTACCACTCGCAGTGAGATGAGCCCAAAGAGCTGGGCTATGCATATAGAGAGATTAAAAATGTCTCATTAAAGTTAAATGATGTATTTTCACACCACATGTTTTCCTCCTTACAGTCCCCCAAAAGGTCCAGAATGCTACTATAGTCTGCTATTGAACAGATGTATGTTTTATCTTAAGTGCCTTGAGAAATTAGTCTGACTTCTGCAGCACTTCAGTTGCAGATGTCAGAGGTGTAGGTCAGCAGCCTTTTAGCCTTAAGGAACCTACCTTGTAGTTTGCTGTGAAAGTTAGAAATTCATCTTCATGTGCAAAAATGGGTGCTTTTTGTGGTTTTGATTAAAGTACTGAAGCAGGAGTTGAGAGTAGATTAAACAAAGTAGACTACTTGAAATATTAGCAATTATGATCTGATCATTTCAAGTAGAGAGTAGAGCTGGTGCTATTTGCTAGACAAAGTGCATGTTGGAGACAGAAGAAATTTTTCAATTCCAGTAGGTAGGTCATTAAGCTATTAACATGAGGTCTTGGGTTTTTTTTCCTTTTAATAAAAGAGAACTTTTCTGAAGCCCTATAATTACCAATTTTTTCCACGTTTGTGTGTAAGGGAGGGGAGATGAGCATCTCCAAAGGGTGAAGCTGGTTTAAGCTGGTAACCCAGCCATGAGAAAGGGAGAAGCTCCTTGACAAGACGCATGTTCAGTGTAAGTGTTGCTGACCTCCAGACTTGCTGGTGGTTTAAATTAACACGCTCTCTGTGAGGGAGATGACTTAGGTAAAGATGTTATGAAAAGAAGTGCATAATGGAAGGCATATGTCTGCATGGGAAATGTTCTAATGGGTCTGCTATCATACACCAGCTACTGTGAAGAGTACTTAGCCTTAGTGTTATATGCTGGTAGGATGGCTGAGACCTGGGAGAAGTTCCTGCTTGTCCATAGGAAGCTGATGAAATGGAAAGTGCAGACCCACAGCAAAACAAAGCCTTTAGCATGGGGATGTATAAACAGACTGAGGGCTCTACAAGGGAGTGCCCTGGAGAAAGAAATGGAGGAGTAATGTAGCTGAGGGACAGGCCTGGGTCAGAGACAGTAGGGCTACTGCTAATTCCTGGGTTACACCACAAAACTCCCAATTTCCTGGGCTGAGGAAAGCCATCAAGAGTGGTTGAAAAACTGAAGGCAAAGATGTGTGAAGGATTTGTTGCTTTTTGTTTGGATCAGTTTGTTTATGTCTTGTGTTACTATGTAAAAAGTTTGAGTCCTGTTGCAGGGTTAGCATGGGTTGTGGTTTGAGCCCAGAGGGCAAGCAAGCACCATGCAGCTGCTCACCCCTTCCTTCCCAGTGCTATGAAGGAGAAAATAAAGCAAAAGACTCAGGAATTAAGATGAGGACAGGAAGAGATGATAAACTTATTATGGTCAGGGGCAAAAGGCAGGCACATTAGGGGAAGAAAAAGAACATCAATTTAATTCAAACACTAACAGCAACAACACTTGACGGAGTGGGACAGTGAGAAGAATTACCACATCTTAAAAACACCTTCCCTCACTCCTCCCTGGGCTCAGTTTTGTTCCTGATCTCTCTACCACCTCCACCCCAGCAGCACAGGGGCAGGGAATGGGGGTGCAGTCAGTCCACTACTTCTTCCTCCAGAGAGGGGGGAAGCACTTTTCTGCATTGACATGCGGGTTAACATGGCACTTAGGAATATGGTGTAGTTGAGAACTGTCATTGTTAGGTAAATGGTTGGTCTAGGTGATCTCCAAGGTCTTTTCCAACCTAGATGATTCTGTGATTCTGTGACTCTTCCCCCTGCTCCATGTGGCTCTCCTTCCACAGGAGACAGTCCTCCATGACCTCTCTCTGCCATGAGGCCTCCCCATGGGATGCATTCTTCTGGAGATGCTCTGGTGTGGGTCACCTCCACATGACACAGTTCTCCCAGCGCCAGACTACGATGGTGGGGTCTGCTTCTTCCCTCAGAGTCCCGGGGGTGTCCTGGAGGCTGCAGGTGGGTCTGTGCTCCTCCAGTGACCTCCATGGGTGTCAGGGGGGTGGCCCTGCCCTCTCACCACAGAATACAGGGGGGCTCTGCTCTGGTGCACCTCCCCCTCTTCCTCCTTCCTTCCACTGACCTCAGTGTTCACATAGGTGTACTGGCAACTCCTCCTCACAACTCCTCTTCCTCCTCCTAGGTTTTCCTTCTTAGATACGTTATCACAGAGGCACAGCCACTGTTGTTAATTGGCTTGGCCGTGGCCAGAGGTGGGTCCAACTTGGAGCCCGGGAGCTTTGAGAAGCTTCTCCCTGGGGCTGCTGCTGTAGCCCTCTCCCCCACTACCAAAATCCCAACACACAAACCCAGCACAGCACGTGAGGAAGGATGGCAGAGGAGCATGTCCATATACACTTCCAGTTCAGATTCCTCCTTTAGTTCATGCTTCTGGTGGGCATCATTGAGAAAGTACCACCAATAATTAAAATGAAAAGAAGATGCTTTTTAATCTGTGTAGAGTAAGAGCTCTCCTAATTTCTCCCTTTGGTATTTCTGGCACTTCGCTAATACAGAATCAGAGAATCTACTAGGTTGGAAAAGACCTTGAAGATCATCTAGTCCAACCATTTACCTAACATTGACAATTCTCAACTACACCTGATCCCTCAGCACTATGTCAACTCTACTGTTAAACATCTCCAGGGATGGGGACTGCACCACCTCCCTGGGCAGCCCATTCCAACACCTAACAACCCGTTCGGTAAAGAAATGCTTCCTAATATCCAGTCTAAACCTTCCCCTCTGGCCCAATTTGAGGCCATTACCTCTTGTTCTATCGCTTGGTACTTGGTTAAAGAGCCTCATCCCCAGCTCTCTGCAGCCTGCTTTCAGGCAGCTGTAGAGGGCGATGAGGTCTCCCCTCAGCCTCATCTTCTCCAGACTAAACACCCCCAGTTCCCTCAGCCGCTTCCCCGTACGACCTGTGCTCCAGACCCTGCACCAGCTTTGTTGCCCTTCTCTGGACACGCTCGAGTCATTCAATGTCCTTTTTGTAGTGAGGGGCCCAAAACTGAACACAGGAATCGAGGTGCGGCCTCCCCAGTGCCGAGTACAGGGGTCAGATCCCTTCCCTGTCCCTGCTGGCCACGCTACTGCTGACACAAGCCAGGATGCCATTGGCCTTCTTGGCCCCCTGGGCACACTGCTGGCTCCTGTTCAGCCAGCTGTCAATCAACACCCCCAGGTCCCTCTCTGACTGGCAGCTCTCCAGCCGCTCCTCCCCAAGCCGTAATAATAACAAATACCCTCCTCCTTTTGGAAGGAGAAGCTGCTGCCAGTCCTTTAAATCCCGAAGAGCTCTGGCAGGGCAGGGGGAGCCTGGCTGCTAGATATCAAGGATCGCAAGCCTGGTGCAGGTGGCAGAGGGCACACAGCTTAAACCCAGAGGACACTGTGCTTTTAACACTTTTAAAGGTCTTGATTTCAGAAAATTTGTTGCCAGCAGAGAAGCAAAAGACTTCTTAAATTGTGAACCATGTTCTCAGAGGTGGTAAAAGCCAATATAACCTGTTTCCTGAATAATTTGCTTCTAGTTGGAGCCTGTTTGGCAGCATAGCTTGTGCCTGTCCGTTGCACCCTGCCAGTTTCGGGTGTTTGAGGGGAGCTCTGGCTGCCGCCTCCAACCCGCCCTTCGGGGGTGCGGGAGCCGCTGGTGCTTGCTGCCCCTCCCAGTCCTTCCCCTCCGGGGCGCCTCTGCCCGAGCGGGGCGGCTTCTGGGGGTGCCCTCAGAGGGCCCCTCTCTTTGTCGTGTGCCGTCAGGCCACCAAGCCGGGGGCGCTCCCCAGGCACCTGCTTCTGCCCCTGACAGGGCCGGGCCTTCCGCCGCCCCGCAGTCGGCCGTTTGCCCCTGCCCGGGGCGGGGGGAGCCCCAGGGCAGCAGCGGCGGCTCAGGCC